GTATAAGAGACAGGATTTAAGCATAAATAATGTTAATTTAGATAATTATTAATATGATTAATTCTGCCATAATTCAAAACATTTAATGCTATACATTTGCTAAGCATTTACCAAATCAGTTTGGTATTGTCCAAAGCAGGGAACAGTTAATTTCTAAGGTGTCAGCAATAGTCCTATTGAACTACTTCACCTTATATTATATAATGAGTTAAGTAAATCTCCGACTGTTGGTAATATTGTGCATACTGACAAGTTTGTACAGTAGTGTTTTTTTTAATGAATGTATGTATATAATTACTTGACATTACATAATATAAAGCGTTACACAGACCTCAAAATGTGTAATATGACTTTTCCTGACAAATTTGTAATGGTTCTTATGATTTAAATATAGCCTAAAATTGTTAAGATAATGTGTGTGATTACCGTAAATCCTCGAATAGAAGCCATAGGTTTCTTTTTTACCAATCTTGGATGGACTTATTTTCGAAATTACTTTTGCAAAGTAAAAAAAAGGTTTTCAAAATGAATGTTGTAAATTTTGGAATGGCTACTATACAAAATTTGTCAACTATGAAATTCGAAACTATGTTGAATATTGTTTTTTTTTTTAAATTTAAACATGCTAGTAAAATATAACACTATTGATGATAATGACATGTTATCTGACAATCATAATCTTAAAAAATAACCTCATTCTGGTAAGTTATCTCGAAAGAAGACTGTCTTATCTTTTTTTAGAAGCTCATGGGGTTCTTTTCGAGATTACTTTTGTTAATTGAAGAGTGGGATTCTTTTCTTCTCGAGGTTAAGCCCATGGGGGCTTCTATTCGAGGTTATTGCACTGCCTGTCATACCGTATAATTGTGGTATTTCAGTCTATAGAGGAGAGGTACCGCCATCGTGGTGTTAAAAAAAAATACAGGTAAGGGACGAAAGTATTAAAGTGAGAAACAGAGAGAAATAAATGGAAAGGGATCAAACAAAAACGAATTCATTACAGCAACATTCTCTAGCTTCTTTCACATTACGAAACAGTAGGCCTACGTCTTTACTGTGCTTGCAAAGTATCAATATCGCCAATAGGCAACTGAGTTTGAATCACTGACTGATGTCAACATTGTAAACATAAATTAGGGGAAAATTTATTGGCAAAAATGGTCTTGACGTCATTTATATATTTACACACACATGCTGTCACAAAATGTTAATGCAGACTTTCACTAATGTTTCCCGGGGATACAGGATGTGTGCAGGAAAGGTGTTGGCACCAACATAATATGAGTCCGGACCACTGACAATTGATGTCATGTAAACATAAATTTGGGAGTACTTTATGGACAAGAATGGTCTTGTCATCAATATATTTACTTAGATTGTACTTGCTGCCACACAATGTTAATGCAGACGTTAGCCGTCTGTAAGGGTCCTAAAACAAAATAAACACAACTAGTCTGCATTAGTATTCCTACTTGCCTTGGTTGTTTGGTTAAAAGAGAATACGCAATGAATGTTACTATCCTAAGATTTGTAGTAGCTAACCTGTTTGCTAACCACTACATCAGTATAGTACTGGATAAACACCCCACCAAGTAAATGAGTAAAAGCACGCAATGCCTAGCAACGACAATTGGTCAGTTGTCTAAGAATGATGGAATAGAAAGCGTGAACGAAGTCCAAAACCCTAAGTAATAAGTGGATAATTTAGGGCCTCAGCTAGTAACAGAGCTGAGAAAAATGCGGTGCGCTTCTGTGGTCGAAACTAGCCTATAATACCCTTGTGCTTGATTAATTACCTGTAGTAGTTTAATATCTATTGAACGAAGAAATTTAAAACCATACTCACTTAATACTGTTTAGAAATAAATTAATAACGTGAACTCGATATAGTAAAACTCATTAATTGTATGAGATTGAATGACACGTCAGGTAGGTGCAGTCAAAGGACAATGTCCATGGAATTATAGAACAATGGCGTGCTAAATCATGGAAAGCTTTTGTGAAAAAACAGAAACAAACCTAAATAAAGGAACAGTCTGACATTACATTGTAAAGTGAAGTTTTTACTGTAGAATGCAATCTAGAAATAAAGGAACAGTCAACAATTGTTTTAAACAACGAAACATTTTGTTTCATGTAGTGACTTTTACGAAATAACATTCACATCACAATAAGTTGAAATTAGTCAAGTATACAGGAGGTGTTATAATTTAATTGTGTTTGTATTTTTCTATCTAGGCATCAGTGGGCGCTCCGCCCCCTCCCTCCATTTTTGTAGGAAAAAAAAAGAAAAGAAATTATTGATCGACAAAAACGCCTCAGAGGTTATTTCCGTACGTCTCAAAAACAAAAAATTTCCCAAGGCATTCGCCCAGGACCCCCTAGTGTAGTTGTCTCTCGATCGCCCCACCCCACCCGCCGTTTGACATCTCTGGATCCACCCCTGGACTTGATTGTGATTTAATACTGGTAATCATCTATATTTTGATTTATCACACTAGCTTAGGCGGTTAGATTGTAATTTGCACGGTAAAGAAATATTGCTGTATGTTGAGGGGGGTAGATTTTATTTATTGTGTTGAGAAGCTACTAAAAAAATATTCAATAAAAAACGACAATTAATTTTCATTTTTCTAGAAGGTAATTTAAAAACTTATTTTAACAAATTGAAAAAAAAAAAAAAACATCGTTCCTATTAGTATTAAACTCCCTGACGCACAACATAAGGAAATTGGAAAAACACCAAGAAAAATGAGTAAGACCGAATATTAATGTCATATTTTTATTGAACAAAATTAAATAAACAAAACGTTAGCTAGACAAAAAGTAATAATCATATGATCATGGTAATTTACATAGCATTGCACATGCGAGAATAAGGTACGGTATAAAATAATAAATTAATTATGTGCTTGCTTTAATGCTCAAAGAACATTTCATAGAGCACTTTTCAAAAGTATTAAAAGTACAATCATACAAAATTGTAATACAGTATACCAACACAATTATGAGCTACTGATTCCATTTAGTGGACAGGAATGTACAATTTTACGAAGTATTATATTATATATGTACAGTATCTATAACCAACTGCATATCGAAATCCACTTTAATGGAACAGGAAAACACCTAAAACATATTACATCAAGATACTCTTAAAATAAATTTAGACAAAAACATTAAAATATATTTGTATACAGGCCTACTACTAGCTTAAAACTTACTATTAAGTAATAAACTACCACCAAAATTGAGGGAAAAAAATAAAACAATAATTTAAATTGTCTATACAATCAAAAAAACTATCTTCCAATAAGTCACAGACTGTAAGTAAGTTTTTTTTAGGCGGGGGTGGGGGGGGGGATGTCTGTTTTCATTGATTTCGAGTTTTTACTGCTACACATTTGCTGGCCAGAAATGTAAGGTTATTTACAAAGGCTATATGGAATGTCTTTTTAAAAATTCAAGTTTAATAAGTTTACACGTATTTATGTAGCCTTATTTTATCAACCACAGCATTTAAACATGATTATGATTAAGGATTGAACAACACTATTTACACAGTTCATCAAGAAAAAACCAGAGTACAACTAAAGCCTGGTTTCTACACTCTAACGCCGACTCCCTTGGTGACGCTGATTGGTCAGTTGAATCAGGGAGCGTTCCTGATTGGGTCGGGGACAGCTTTGCTTTGCAAAAATTGCAGCAAAAATGGTGTAGCAATTGTATGGAGACCGAGCTTAAACATGCTATACTCTGCCACTGGACAGTTTGTTACCAGCATGTAAAGGTGGGGCATCGCAGACTGACATTTGCCCTTGTGGACATGTACAAACTCACGAACATGTGTTGAACAAGTGTGCTGTAACAGCCCCCTACCCTCCTGTCCATTATCTGAAATTGACAACTCTCAGTTGCTGGCATACTTTACCAGCAGCCAATTTAAACAATATGTTTAAACAAACGAGATAATAAGACAGAAAATAATTGCTACAAGTTAAAGTTGTACAAAAGAGGGTAATTATTTGCTGATGGGAGGGAGAACACAGGATGTTTTGTAATCCATATTACAAAGGATAACATGGGGGTACAGGCCCCGGTGTCTGTCTCTAGATCTGTAAGAAGATTCTGTAACTAATAACATTTACATATTTAGATTTTTAATTCATAATAATTTGATCAATTGAATCAATGCATTTTGAAAGCACAATCAATAATTGCAGTATGAGGTAGACAAAAGGAAATGAATACAACTAAAATCACATCAATGGAAGGAAGACAAACATACACTAATATTGACAAAAAGAATCTATTGAGACTATAGATAATAAAAATAATTATAAAAAAAATCACAAGGAAGAGTTTCCACTAAATGTCTCAAAGTACTCTACTACCCTGGTCATTAAAAACGGTAATGATCAGTGCTACCGTGTCTGTCCCCTAGAGTCTACAGTATCATTAAATTAAACACTGTACTCGTGTTTATCCATATACAGTATAGAATAAATATATACATAAATATATAAAGGTTAAATTATCAAGGTAATATGTAATATTGAGTACATTGTGATCCTCATAAAACACTGAAAGCACTTTATAGATTTATCAATTTACATTTCTCTAAAATTATATTCTTTAGTAATATATTTTTGTACTATAACCTATATTAATCCTAACTCCTACTATTGGAAAATAAAATCAGTAATCTTGTGTTTTCTATTTCTTGCATAATTTCACTGACATCAGTTCAATCTCTGTTACTACATTATGATAGCATCAGGGACTAAATCCGTCCTTACAAATTATGATGCTGAAACTGTTTAATAATAATTATTCAAAATCAATACAATTCAACAAGGTATACTACAGGATAGATTTAGCACCTGCAACTATCCAGTTTAAATTTGTATACAGAAATTTGCAATTGCTACCCTTTTAGTCTATGCTTAAATTTTCTCATACTTCACTGATATCGGATTGGACTTTGTTTCCTTTTAAGTATTATGTGAAATTATGATAATGTAGTAGATTCAATCTTTAAGACCTGCAAACGATTTTATTAAGATTACCGTCACAATTTCTTTTTGAAGAATGCGTAGAGGAAGGAGCACACCAGATGGATTGTAGAGAAGGAGGTCAGCAAACGAGAATGGTTGCTTAAGCACTATGCTTGGCCCCCTTTTATCTAAAATAAAAATATCAATTAGACAATTTCAATCAATTAATCAATCAATATTTCCATTTATATGGTGCCATTCCAACAGTCATTGTTAAAAAAAACACAAAACAAATTAAAATTGAATTTAAATCTCGAAATGGCAGAACCATCTTCATAGATAGAATACTGTGAAGCTTGCCTAAAATAAATACTGTATATA